TAAGTACATGTCATCAATAAAAATAAATCTCGACGTGCTGGGATGTATTTTAATTTAACATACCTAGATTACGGCTGCCATAATCCTGAGCCCATCGACTAAGACAATTACATCCAAATCAAAAACGAAGACACAAGTGAATATGGTGCCAATATATTCCCTATAAGTAAATTTGCTTTGGTTCTGATATTATAAGCAATGTAGTTGTGTGTAGAGCTGTAAAAGTAACGAAAATTTGGAAAATTTCGTATCGTTACTTTACTCGTTACTTTTGATACAAGCACTTGTACTTCACAAGAATCATCGCAACAAATATTGCAGCGTAATGTTCGTTTGTACATATGCATTAGGGCGGGTCGATTTAAAAATCGCTCATTGCTCTGTGAAAATCGTATTCTAGGGATCAAAATAAGAAACTTTGCCGAAGGAACCATACCTCTAAAACGAATTCTGATGTTCCCCAATTTGGGTCGAACTTTTGGGTAGGGGCAAATTTTGAAAAATCCCACTTTGACCCGTTTAGAGTGCTCCAATCGAGTCCAAATGTATGACCGACCCCCACTAACTTTGGACGGCCGATCCACCCATGCCAGTGGCACACCCCCTGGAACTCCCCTGGGGGGTTCCCCATACAATCATTTCAAAAAATCACCATTTTTGGCCTTTACATGAAAAAATCAGCTAAATGGCTATGTTTTTTCTTTATTTTTATTTATTTATTTATAATAATATTTACTATTTATTTATAATAATATCTATTTTTTCTCTTAAGAAATTTATTTAGTCAGAACATATGTAAATGAAAAAATTAATTTAAGTGAGTTATAGAAAAGAAACTAAAAAAAATTATTGTTTGAAGTCTTTTTTACTTTGAAGTCTGGGCAATTTCGCACGGCTCTCTAATGTCGTCGCCATAACAGCCTCTACATTTTCCGGTATAACCCGTTTGGAAACGCTAGCTAGCAATTGAACCTGTCGTTCCGTTCCTTGTATGTGTGATGGAATTTTTGGATCATTAAACGGTGGATCATCTTGATTTAAATATTCTTTCAATGTATCGTACGGAATGCTTCGCGTGAATGGTGGTTCAAATACGATATTTATATCATTCAAATTGATCATTTCCGTATAACTTGTGCAATTAAAGTTTATATCTGGTTTTTTATAAACTCTAAGTTCCATTGGCTCGTCAACATCGGTTCGATAGCGTAGAATTTTCTTGATGGCACAGTCGCGCTTTTCTTTGCTATCATCAAACAACATTGATAACAAGATATTTTCCGAATGCGCATAATATGAATTATCTTTAATTACTTGATTGACAATTTTGCGTAAACGAGGTTCTAGAAATCGTGACCAACCAATGAACTTGAAAAATAATGCACTGACGTACACGACAGAGCTGTAATACTTGATATTGAAGTACATTGGCACATAACATTTAATTATAAATTCAACCAGAATTCTTAAATTTGCATCTGGATTTTCCGTTGTCACATATAATCGCAATAATCTAGCGGCCTTGGTGAGCCACCGAGAATGTACAATTTTCCCTGGTTTGATGTTAGCCAGATCCACCGGAACCACGCCGCTAGAAATTGCATGGGCCATGTCGTATAAGTACTTCGAATCGGTGGAAAATTCAATTCTTTCTGGAGCAGGGGGCATATTTTGCAACTCAATTTTCTGGAAGCCGTCCACCACCTGAAAATATATAATAATAAAATAATTAAAAATGGTTGACAATTATAATAAATGAGTGATAGCAATAACTTACCAGAAGAGTTTCACAAGTTTCGATTTGACGGCTCAGTTTTCCGGTTGCCGATCTTGGTCCAGTGCTGGTTGATTTATCCAAAGCTTCAAACAAATGCCGAAACGGAAGTTCGTTGAAGTGTAGAAGGCAAACGAACCAATGCAATGGTCTTTTTAACAGCAATTCGAATCGTCGTATAATTCCACCGTGTGGGCCAGTGTTTGTTGGCTCACCGTCAGTGCATATTCCAATTAATGCATCCAGTGATATATTTTTATCGTTGAAAAACCCATTTAATTTGGTTGTTTTGTATTCAGCGGTTTCATGCTCCAGTCTTACGTAACCAATCAATTCAGAATTGGGTTCTCTCAAAATAACAAGATGAGGTTCTTTTACCATCCTAGTATGATACTTCTCATCAATTTTATCTATCGTTAAAGTATCATCTTTTCTGCCATCGAATGAAAACGCTAACAAATTCGTATCATTTAACCGTTTGCGAAGCACTTCTTGTCTGCATTTCTCTTTTTCTCTGCGAATTTTCGATTTATCCATGATGAGAGGTTTCCCATGCTTATCTTTAATTTTAAAATCTTGCAAAAGAGCGGTTCCCAATGCTGATGCTACTCTGTCAGGCACACCAAATCTGTCACATACCAAGGCAAAGTTAAAACAATCGTATCTCTCTGTGTATTGTGAACTTGTGCTTCTATCCATATCTTCTTGAACCGGTGGCGGTGCGTATGTTGAATCATCGGGATCTTGGTATGTTGGCATTGATGACATAGACGTTGCTCCTTGCTCTTCAGTTTCCATCACAAATGCATCCATTGTTAGTCTTCTCTGATTATGTTGATCGTGCATGAACTCTTTGAGGCGTTCGGGAACCCAGCCGCATGCACATGGAGCTGCCTTCAAATCGCATTTACATGTTCCAATGTAAAAAATTGTTTCCAGAGATTTTACATACTCTGTAAATTGTTGGGTGTTGTTTCTTCTCTTGATTTGCTCTTGATACTTGTCAAGCAATTTATTCAATTTATTAAATACACTTTTTTTCAGCATTATTTCCATACCAAGTTTTTCCCCAATTCCAATCAACTTATCTTGTACTTGAATAGTGAATGATTTATGGGAAAACTTTTTTTGTTCTGTTTTAGCACGTTCGCTTAAGTAAAAATAATATCTCAAGATATCCAGATGGGTTGGTAAATTAAGATCAGTTAAATCAGTAGACACACCAAAAACAGTAACATCATGCTTGGGTATATGACTCATTGGGTTTTCGATAGTTGTTGATGTAGTTGCTTCATCTTGCGGTGTAGAGGATGGTGGATTCATTGTAAACTTTTTGATTTGGAATGGTCACTTCACTTATTATTTTTTTTGAAATATTTTTTTATCTGAAATTAGCACTTCACATTTTGAGTTCTTCACAACGACTTAATGCATTCACAAAAACTGTTGCGTTATATATGGTCTACGAGACGAGGTAATAAGAATGAAATGGTAATTTCAATTCTACCTGCTGTGTCTTGTGGTGGCTTAAAAAAAACAACACAAGCAATTTTACGATCTGCAATTGTGTCACAGTGATACCTTCATTGTTTAAAAGGGTTGCAAAAAACGCGCACAAAAAGGGTTGTAAAAACAACCTTCATTTCTTAAGTAGGTGCTATAAAAAAACTACACAAGTAAGTTTACGACATGCAGCTGTGTCTTAAAAAACGCACACAAGCAATTTTCCGATTTGCAATTGTGTCACAGTGATACCTTCATTTTTTAAAACGGTTGAATAAAAAAACCCACACAACTATGTTTACGACATGCAAATGCATCACAGTGATGCCTTGGTTTTAAAAGGGTTGTAAAAACGCTAATTTCTAATAATTTTTTTAAATTTCTTTTCTATTACTAAGTTAAATTCATTTTTTTCATTTACATATGTTCTGACTAAATAAATTTCTAAAGAGAAAAATAAACTCCAAAAAGAAAAAAACATAGGCATTTCGCTGATTTTTTCATGTAAAGTGCAAAACCGGCGATTTTTTGAAATGTTTGTATGGTGAACCCCCAGGGGGGTTCCAGGGGGTGTGCCACTGGCATCGGTGGGTCGGGTCTCCAAAGTTAGTGGGGGTCGGTCATACATTTGGACTCGATTGGAGCACTCTAAATGGGTCAAAGTGGGATTTTTCAAAATTTGCCCCTACCCAAAAGTTCGACCCAAATTGGGGGACATCAGAATTCGTTTTAGAGGTATGGTTCCTTCGGCAAAGTTTCTTATTTTGATCCCTAGAATATGATTTTCATAGAGCAATGGGCGATTTTTTTGCCTCCCCACAAATCGACCCGGCCTAATATGCATACATGTACATATATACATATGTATACACGGAACACACTTTAGTATCGATTCAAACAATTTGATACAAGGTAATGTTCGTTCGCTTGGATACAAATTTTTATTACATCTTTATTTTATGAGAAAAATTCATTAATAAAGCAATTGTTCACTATCAAAATTTATTGATTGTTAAAAATTTTATTTACTATCATACATTTTTCATACATGTGCAGAAGTTTGAACATTGACAGTTTTCTATATTTATGTATTCACATTTGGTTCACTATCAAGATATATTGATTGTCAAACATTTTATTAACTATCATACTTTTTTCATACAGGTACTGAAGTTTGAATATTGAGAGGTTTCTATATTTATGTATTCACATTTGGTTCACTATCAAGATATATTGATTGTCAAACATTTTATTAACTATCATACTTTTTTCATACAGGTACTGAAGTTTGAATATTGACAGTTTTTTATATTTATGTATTCCCATTTGGTTTTTTGGTTAAATTCTAATGGCCTTATTCATAAAAAATAGTCATTTTTGAATCGTAATTAAAATACGTATAAGTAAAAAAAAACGATTCAAAATGATAAGCAGGTACTTATTTAGGTAGGAACCTTTGGTTCATATTTAAAAACAAAACTTTTTCCATTCGTTTTGGTTTAATTGAACTACGCTTCTCGCTTAATATTTGACCAGACTTTGAAAAAGTTCTTTCGGATGGTACCGAAGTTGCTATTACCGAGAAATACTTCTGGGCCAAGCTTGATAGCTCAGGGTACAGAATTGAACGTGTCTGCCACCATCTTAAAGGACAATCATTTCTGGAAAGGATTCGTTCTTCGAAGTATTGCCTCATCGTAATTATACTTGTAACCGTGGAGTTCTAAACAGAGTTCGACTCTGCCATAGCGTCAAAATCTTTCCAAATTGAACCTTCAACATCACTAAGGCCATCGGTGTCTATTGCAGAGGTGGGTTTGTTTATATTCCCTGACTGCTCTTTATGAAAATTAAAATTACATTCAAGCTCAGTTTTTAGAGCATCTTTAGCAGACTCATAACTTGATAAATCAAATGTAAATGCTAGCTTCTTGAAGCGCGGATCTAACAACGCTGCTTTGGATAGTAGTGGATGTCTATGACAATTTTTGAATCTCATTTTGAACTCCATTATTACTTTGCTTAATAGCTTCTTTGCAATTTCTGTAAGAATAACTGTATTTAAATGGTCGGAAGTTCTTATAATACCTTCAGTAGCAGCTAAAACTATTGATACTGTTACTTTGTTTTCCGAAGAAATTTCTTCAGTGAGTTGCTTAAATGGCTTCAAAATTTTTATAATGTCTGGAAGTGATTTCCATTCACTTTCCGAGAGGTTTTCTACCGGGCTGTGGAGGATTCCAAGAGCCGCTTCTAAAGGCTCCTGAAGTAAACAGATCCGCTCAATCATGTCCAAGGCGCTATTCCACCTGGTGACCACGTCCATTTTCAATTTCAATAGCGTTTGGTTAGGTCTCATTTGCTCCTGTATTGTAATCAGTTTTTTGGTAGCCACTGGACTTCTGTGAAAATGCTCCACAATTGCTTTAATTTTTTTAATCAGTCTCTCGATTTCGGAATCTTGTAGTCCCGCACGCACAACCAAATTGAGTGTATGAGCGACACACGGCAAATGTTCGATTTTCGCTAACCGTATAGCCGCTTTCATATTAGCTGCATTGTCTGTAACGCTGACAAATATTTTACTTTGTATTTCCCAATAGGACAATAAATTACACAACTCATTTTTTATGTATTCAGCCGTATGTCGCTCATGGCACTCAAAACATCCTAATAAAGCTGATTTTAGTTCCCAATTTAATAAATAATGGGCCGTAACGGCTTGGTAAGAAGTTGTGGCTCTTGAAGTCCAACCATCGGTAGTAATCGAGATATGTTTTACACTTTGCAATTCTTCCTTTAAACGTTTCTGAGCGTCTGAGTAATGTGCATCCAGCAAAGTATTGCTTAATATGTACCTTGAAGGTATTTTATAGCCTGGTTCTAAGTAAGTGAGCAGATCTTTAAAGCCCGTGTCTTCGACTACAGAAAAGGGCTGAAGGTCTTTAACAACCATTTTAAAAATTAAATCGTTAATTTTTTTTCTCTAACTACACTTACGGGACGCTTAATAAAGGCACTTAACTTAGTTTGCTTTGATCTTGTTTCATTTGTTGGTTTATTACCTATTGGAATATCTGATGACGTTGGTGGTGCAGGATCTTCCTGAACTACTGTTGTTGTATCTGATGACGTTAATGGTGCAGGATCCTCTTGAACTACTGTTGTATCTGACACGGAGGATGATATTATGTTTTCGTAAGATGAAGGATTTTTTTTTTACCAAGTGTTTTTTTAAATTTGTTGTGGAGCCGCCTTTTACTGAATAAAGCGATTTGCATATATCGCATTTTGCCTTTCCATCTTTTTATCCATTATTACTATAAAATCAATTTGAAATTAGTTAAAATGTTGTTTAGTTATGTTAGTTAGTTATGGATGTGCATATACACGCAACACCTTTTGTAACGAATCGTTACTGGAGATTCGAACAAATACAAAATTGCGGTAACGAATACATACGGTTTGTGAGGTAGAGGAAGAATTCAAAAGTGCGGTAACGAATACATACGGTTTGTGAGGTAGAGGAAGAATTCAAAAGTGCGGTAACGAATACATACGGTTTGTGAGGTAGAGGAAGAAATCAAAAGTGCGGTAACTAATACATACGGCTTGGGTGGGAGAGAGAGCGATGAGGATGCTCTCGCTGTTGTATCGTATAGCAAACCGTATGTATTCGTTACCGCACTTTTGAATTTGTTCGAATCGCCAATAACGATTCGTTCCAAAAAGTGTGTTGCATGTATACACCCAATCCCCATTTAAATCCATGAATAAAACTGTTAACGAATATTAGGAAAAATCTGCAAAGTTTCAGTAAAATCACAAACTTATTAATACGAATTTCTAAAAAAACAATCAGGTACGCAGTTTTATGGCCCATTAAATTTTAGTATAATAATGTACAAATTTTAAATGTCTAAAAGAATCGCGTTGATTTTTGAGAAATTTTTCGTTGACTGTCCTACGCATTTTTTCCATGTAAAGAATTTTCAGATTTTTTTTGTGAAAAAAATGCTTAGCGCAGTCAGCAAAAAAAATCTAAAAAGCAACGCGACTTTTTAAGGCATTTGAAATTTGCACATTATATTATACTAAAATTTAATGGGCCATAAAACTGCATTCCTGATGGATTTTTTTTGGAAATTCGTATTAATAATTTTGTGATTTTACTGAAACTTTGCAGATTTTTCTTAATATTCGTTAACAGTTTTATTCATGGATTTAAATGGGGATTGCTAAAATATAAGCCATATTTTAATACAAAATGAGCGAAAAAATTTTAGCATGTAAAACATTGCGAATATTAACAAAACAGAGCCGTACGCTCAATTTTTTGAGTAACAGTATATAATTCTATATGTACATATACCATGTATTTTTTATGTATGTATGTATTTTATATGTATGTGCAGGTATAAACAAGGTATAACGTGCCTTAAGGAATCAATTGATGCATCCGCAGGGTTGGTTATTTTATCATAATGTAGGATTATTAAACGTATTTTAATTTTAAAAGTCTAATTTTAAATACACTTCTTCGCTTTTCGTCCATTGATAGAGCTGATGCGCTATGCCACTGCGAATCACCTGAGCGAAAAACTGACTCTCCCTTTGGAAAACATAAGTTATTTACAAATATACCGCAGTAACTTTTTTTTTTATAAACTTACTGTAAGATGTTTGTTAATGGGCTTGCGAAGTTTTTGTTTGCGCTAAATGTATTTATGGCCTTGATAAGCGTAGTCATAGTTTGAGACTTGCCCAGCTCGCCTCGTTTGTTGATGAGCAGTGTAACGCGGAAAAGTAAATTTTCAAAGTGACCTAGGGTACTGCGAGGCATATTACCCAGCTGTGGTAGTTTTTGGTATAGTACATCTTTACTCTGTTCATCGTCTTTTTTCTTTATCAAGCACATTGTCTTCGATTGTCTCATAGGCTTGGCAGGCAATGTCCAGTAGTCTCATTATCTCTGAATTATCGGCAGTGCTATTGTTGGCACTTTGACGAAGAAGAAAGCTGGAGTCGTCGGCGGTATCAGCATTAACTGGATTTCCTTCGTTATTTGTCTCAGTGGGACCATCCTCATCATCCTCCTCATCACTGCAAACGGGTGAATACGTTTCATCATCAGAAGCATCTTCTGCAAAATATCAAAAGGCGTGGGTTTAATTTCTAATATTAACGTACATTCCGGTAACTACCTTTTAGTTTAAACAAATTGTTGCCAACTGGCGACATGCTCCGGGAGCTGCAAGAACTTGAGGGTGTATTATATAAACGTGGTGAACTGCTCGGATACTCGCAATCAATAAGGAATGCCTTGTCTTGCACTTTAATCGTCTGTCAGGAAAATATGTTGCAAGTGTTTAGTTTATTAAAGTCTTCGTTTGTAAGTATGTACATATTTACCTTGCTTTTGGATTCCACACAAACTTCTGTCGATAGCTTTCGTTCCTTAAAATTTTGCTGTTTTTCTTCGCGTTTCCTCTTATAATATTCCTCATCAATTGTCAAGAAGGTGTTGAGTTCGCCTATAATTACTGGTACCAGACCTTCTCTAAGAATCGAATCCATGCTCATGTTATCATATTGAAATTTTTTTAACAAATATAAGACCCGGTGGAAAACGAATACATATGTACATAGGTAAGTTAGATTATTTCTTAAGTGCATTACAGACTTATGCATTACCTGAGACTTTTCCGTATTTGACTGTGAATCACGAACCATTGCAATGAGCTTTCTTAAGGCGCCCGAGCGTCTTATTTGGCTACGATTACAGGCATCTGGAGACAGCATACAAATAGTGTGAATGCAATGTCGTTTTTCACTTTCAGTTAATGATATTGTCATATTTTTGGCAACGAGTAGTTCACAGGCGACTACCACTGCATCTGCGGAACTCAGCATATGAAATGAATCCAATTGCTTTGAGAAGTTTGAAGTTATTTTCAAAGCTACTCCGCGTTGTGGATTTTCTTCTGTAATGAAGAACGTTATTGCCGCAAAAGTGCAATTACTGCTGCTTAGCGCCTAGAAAAAAAAGAGTAATTCATTAGTAACAGCACTCTTACACGATATGTATTTGCATATGTACATACTTATATGCCACTTTTGTGTATCTACTCATATGTACCATATATTAGAACGTTCGAGAAAAGTAGCGTTTACATACATATCTAAATACATATCGTGTAAGAGCGCTATAATGATTACACATTTTTCGTTTTAAAATATTCTGCCTTACCTTCCAAGCAGGTGGTCCAATGGCCAATCAGCCAATACGAGCAACCATTTAAAAATTTCACCGGTCAAATCCAAGGCAGCATGCTCCTCTGGCATAGCGTAGTCGCTCAAAGCACGTGGTTGGTTTTTCAACGTTTCAGGATCGAATATATCACTTCGTACACCTTACCTTTGCAGAAATACCATTTTTCACACACGTATAGTGACCAATTGAACTCGAGCGGGAAAGTAAATGCGTTCGATGAGCGGTTTTCTTACCATCTTAGTGCACTCGTTGAACATACCTCATCCATATGAATTTGCCTTGCATGTGGTGAAAAGTAAACATTCATTTGTAAATTGTCATATTCGTTAATGGTGCATATACAAAACATGCGAGTAACGAGATTATTATGTGAGTAACGATTCGGTACTTCGCGTCAGGGGTTGTATTCGTTACTCAGTAACGAATACATACGGTTTGCTACAGCTCTAGTTTTGTGACACAATTCGTAGAACTGAAAGGTTGATGATGATGAAACGCTCAAGTTCTGAATATTTAATTATAAACGAACAAATTTATCTTGACGGTGACGTAACTTTGAAAAAGCGGCGCCTTTAACGTGGTCTTGAATGTTTTCCCAACCACCATTAGCGAATTTCCGCATATCCTACCACGCACTTCATGACCATTTTTGCCAATTTTTATATTCATAACATGAAGATAATTTAGGTAGGCTGTCTTAAGTGAAGCCATTCTAAAAGACTTACCCAACAAGGACTGAAAAAAGTGCTTATACTTACTTAAGTATATGTTTATATTACATTAAATAAATTCCTTAAAGAAGTATGATTTTTATAAATTAAGAAAAACTTTAAAAGAACTTCTTAAAAACGGCGTTCTACAAAAGCCCTTCTGAAAGCTCTTTTTTTGAGTAGCGAAAGTAGAAGCCCTTCAATTTGTGCCGCTCCATACAAAAAATGAAGGAGAAAGGAATAACTTTCAGAAAAGCCTTTTGGATAAGATTTTAGCTCCTGATATTATCTACTGGATAGTATTTATGTATGACCCCTCAGTCGTGTACCTGATCAGGAATTTGCACTTTTTCGGCATTCGCCTGAAGGGAAAAGATTTTAACCAAATAAACAAAACAGAAAGAAGATATTCAACATGTTACAAAAAACGTTTTGGTTTCAGTTTCCGACTACTAATGACAGAAGGCTTAACCTTTTTTCATAGCAAAAATCTGCTAAAAATTAGAGGAGTGTCGGCATTGACCTTCATTAAAAGATCAGGACTAATCCTGTAAAACCAAGACGTCTGGCAGCCCTAACCTAGATATAAAAAAAAATAACATAATTATTGGAAAGGGGAAAAATTAGATTTCGCAGGCCTGTTTAATCCAATCGAAAACAGCTATTTATTTATTTTAAAAATATAGTTCATTCTATAGCAAACACCATAAAAATTCACATTTCAAACTATGTGAAAATATAAAAATTCAGCGAATTTTCGCCAAAATTTTAAACTTTTGTTTAAGAATTTTGGGAAAAGTTTTGCGTTTGCAGTTTTATAGCCCATGCAATTTTAGCAAAATAAAGTGCGAGTTTCTATGTCTACAAAATATCGTTGATTTTTGGCATTTTTTTACGTCGTCACTCATTTTCTTCCATACAAAGTAATATATGTTTCGGTCTTATAATTATGTAACGCGGTGTACTATTAAC